TTTGACCCAAAAGTTTAAATAAATAAAATGAGCTAAACCTTAAAATACAGAAAACTTAAGTTTGATATCGTGTTATACAATAAAGTAAATTTGTTGGTAACTCTAATACAATTTAAATAGTTTGTTTTATAAAAGTCAAACCAGAGAAAGAATAGGGTAAATCATTAAACGTTTAAAATCAGGTCCTATCACACCATTATCATATTTTAAGGTTTTGTTTGGTTCTATGATAAATTGGAAAATAAATAATAATTCCAATTCAATAACTTGTTTGGTTGGAAAGAAATAAAAATTAATTTTAGATTCTATTTGGTGCATAGAAATTGGAATTGAATTCTATATAAATGACAAAATTATTATTTTTGTCTATTTTGCTTAACTTTACATTGTTTTCTAACTTATATGTAAATATACATTATATATATTATTAAATAGTAATTTTGTATTTTATTGATTGAGCATTAATGTCAATATATTACGAAAAGTATAACAATATTACACTCCACATCTCAATAACGTTAACAAAAGTATAACAATATTTTGATACATCTCTATCGAAGATAACAAAAACTTACTAATCCAAAATACCAATCAACATTCTAATAAACATCCCAAAAAACTTAAAAATCCAAAATATGAATTAACATCCTAATTAATAATACTATCATTCTAAAATGTATTTGATCCAAACATCTCTATCTTCTTCTTCAATTTGCCCGAAGTTCTATATGTATATAAGATCACTTCTTATCCTTGTCAAAGCTTCGAATTTCTTGAGTTAACTTAATGAATTCATCTTTATAATCTTCGAATGGATCTATATGGTTTTTGAATATCATTAACAAGAGGATTGCAACAATGTGCAAAACCACGTTCCACCATGTCAAAATCAATGAAATTTGTCTTTGTCCACGATTGTATGTTGTTAAACTAAGTTGGGGCATTTTCTTATTCATACAAATTCATATGACATTTAAAGTGTAAAAAATGTGAACTAGATGAACAAATATAGATGTTGTTAAAAAAAGATGAACAAACATAGAAACATCAAAGCATCAAATGATATAGAACACGAAGATAATCAATAGAGAGATAAGCATATTTTTTATTTTCAAAGCTTCATATGAATCGCAGGAAGATACAGAGCATGAAGATAATCGACACAAATTCAATTTTCAACAAGCAATTCTCACATTTTCAACTTTCAATCGATTCTTACGAAAGTTAATTCAAGAAAAACGAGTGATTAAGAGGATTAGAGAGAGAGAGAGAGTGTGTGTGTGTGTGTGTGTGTGTGTGTGTGTGTGTGTGTGACAAAGAGCGAGAGTGAGAGCGACATACTCACCTGGCGGAAGAGATGGAGAAGATAAAGGTGTGAAGAGTATGGTGTCGGTTGCTACAACCAATAATATAGACAAACGTGAGATAAAGTTTGGTTTTTAGATAGATATTGTCAAAAATAATTGTAATCTTTAATTTCCTTGATAGTAGGAAATTAATTCAATTAAAGTGTTTTCTTCTATTTGATGAAAAGTTTTTTCATTAAGGATTCAAATTTCATCATAAAAATTTGAACTAAACACAAACACTAGAATGTGACATAATTAAATTCATTTTTAGCGAACCAAACACACCCTAAGTAATTGTTATATAACAACCAAAATTTCATAATCATTTTTACTGAATTTAATCAATTTATGAAACTACTTATCTGAGCATAATGAATAATTATATTATTTTACCATATTATTTCAATTTTGCAAAACTATTATACTTTTTTCAAAAATTAATTCTAATATTCAAATAAGTTTTACTTTATATATATATATATATATATATATATATATATATATATATATATATATATATATATATATTGTGACATCCTTTAATTTTCAGAACCAATTAAAATTTTTCTTTACGCTTTCAATTTAATTTTGTTATTATTGCAAAAAATCTCAGTATATTTGAAACATTTTGAGTACAGGTGATTGTCTCAATTTAATAAAACTCTAAGGATGTCATAATCAATACAGATACATAAGTTTCAACGTAAAGACCTATTGGTCCTGAACCCTATTGCAGGTTGTCTCTTATTCACTCAACATCCTAATCAAGTTCCAGTAGCTTAATCTTGATACATGTGATGCATACAAACTGAATGGGTCAGGTTTGGCGAAACTTAGTTAGGTACATAGGGATTTCAATCCCATAATATTTTTAAGATAATATTCCTTAATTATCATACCTGTAAAACCAATTGTTACCAAACAATATAGATATAGCTTAAACTTAAATATCAGTAAGACCTTTTATACAAACATACACATCCCCATCTCCAATCCAACCACTATTTTCCTGGTTAGGAAAATAGGGGTCTCCTGGTAGGTGAGATCCTGCCATGTTGTCCGTGCGAGAATGGGGAGACGAGAATTACATGAAAACTTACGGATGATTTTGCAATATATATATATATATATATATATATATATATATATATATATATATATACACCTTAACCAGCCTTCCTATAATTTCTTAGTGTATATCAGTTGTATGCAATCAAGATTCAATAGGCTGTTGAATTTAATGAGTCTGCCCTAAGCCCACAACCAAACAAGGAACGTGGCTTAAAGCGGACCCATCAATTCTAAGTCGGTTGAGTCCTAACTGTATACAGCCCTAGTGTATACACCTTTGAAATTATAGATCCACCAGTAAGGGTCCTAAATTTTATAGATCCACCAGTAAGGGTCCTAAATTTTTATATAAAGTAAGGTTTAGACTAAACAGCTAGGGGTTTCCTTGGTCGATGTATGCCATAAGGCACCCGAGCCTTTATATCAATTTGATGAATAAGGTATTACCTTTCATCTACGTTTATAGGCTATGAGCCTAAAGTAGCAACGTAATTCACAAGACAGTATAGAATGGTTAAGTGTTGTCATCTTACTTTGGGAGATGACCAGACATACCATTACAGTTGTCTGGTCTGGACCCACTATTTCTCGTCATTCAAAAGGAATACTAAGATGTACTCCGGTATGGAGCTACCGTACATCGAGACCTATTAGTATCATAGGAAAGAGTTCTACTCTCCGTTTCTAACACACATAACCTTAACATGGCGCTTTCCACTATTCAAACTTAATTGAACTAAGCATCCTTTATATGTCTTATTTCCCTAAAAGGCGAGACTATCGGGCTTACAAACTTTCCTTGAAATACCAACTCTATGTCACACCCCAAAACCAGAACGGCGGAAACGTTCGGGGGCGGATGACTTCTTGTATAGTATCATAACAACGAATATAATAGTGAAGAAAGCAAACATAACCATGCATCCGACAACGAATATAATAGTGAAGAAAGCAAATCACTCACATAAGTAGATCAATCAGTAAAATGATTTGGAATCACTGATAAATCTTAATTACAGGTTCATAATAAAGACTATGACTATAATTACAAGTTACACTTAAAACGGAGTAAGTGTAGCTCAACTCACAGAGTATTATGATGAAAACCGGGGATTATGCGGGCAGAATTCAGATCTAGGAGTTTCTATTCACCGCCTATCTGACACCGCAGGGCTTTACCGAAGGATTTGGGAACTCAGGAGAAAAAGAGACTAAGGGTTTCGAGAGATATTTCAAAGGAGGTGAGTAGAAAATGAATGAAAGTTGAAACTTTATGTAGGGGTGAAAAGTGACTGGGCGTCACGCATCTGGTCGGAGTGTGCCACGCATGTGAAATGTTCATCGCACCATGAAAATATGTTATTTTTGGAAAAAAAAAAAAAAAAAAAAAAAAAAAAAACTCTACATTTTGTGATGCCAAAACACAACATTCTATACTATTTTACATGTACAAAGAGTATTCAAACAAAAAAAAATTATTAAAAATGACCAAGAACATGTTTCGCAAGTCTCAAGTCACCAAAAAACAATGTTTTAAAAACCAGTTTGAACCGGCAGGTTGTACCAAGAAACAAGAACGACAACGGTTCAATAATAGCCGGTTTTATGTTAATTTCTAGATCAAATCAAACCCGAGGGTTTGTTCAAAAACCGGGTTGAACCAGTGTAATATAACGGTAAAAAACCGTTTGAACCTGTTTATTGGACTTGTATAGTTGGAACGACGCATATCACCATCGAATATAGAAAAATTTTTGGTTGAATCGGAGGTTGCACTGCGAACCAGTTACTAGACCAGTTCAACTAAAAAACTAGTTTTAAAACATTGCCTAGAAATGTACCGGTACCTAAAAATGTATCCTCATTGGTCAGGCATATGTTTTTGCACCTTAAAAAATGTATCATACAAATACTAACGAGTGATATATATACACACCATGTGATGTTAATAAAATTATGAATGATATTTGCTTTACCAAATGTCGGATGCATACTACATATAGCAATTCACCATTCTCTTTTTGGAATTAATATTGTCTATAATGAACAAAACCAACGATGGATACGAGTTTAATTTGGTTATGCTGGAGATATAACATCACCAATATTATCGAACCTATCAAAATGGTCTATAAAGAGTTTGTAAAGAGTTTTTTTTATGACGTTTGACAACTCCATGACATCACAACATAGAATAACATCATAAGTTTGACAACTAATCATAAACTCAAAACATGGCAAAAACAACAAAACTGTTTGAAAATCAAACTATTTTGTACGTTTGTACATATACACACATTAAACATCATATAACAACACATAGTAAAACATTTCTTTATAACTCAGAAAACGCTATAAACTCATGTCAATATAACCATGAACAAGGTGATCTTTTTAAAACAAGTCATCATAGCACACAAACAAGAAGAAAAATGTTTTACTTACAAGGTTGATACTTGATAATGAAGTAATTCTCCAGTTTGAATTTAAAGTTTTCTGAATGAATTTACAAAGTATATATATATATATATATATATATATATATATATATATATATATATATATATATATATATGACAAATTGTGGAGAAAGACAATAATACCCATTCCAGGAATCACAAGAAGTCAAGAAGATCATCAACCCCATTTCATTTCTGGCATTTTCAGTTGTCTGAAATCAAAGGAACCTGTTCATAAGAATCACAAGCATGAAGCTTACTGCATATGTCTTCTTTCTCCAAAAACTGCTCTGCATTTGCAAGAATCAAAGGTGCATATTCGAATACCAATGATTTACACTGAAAAAAAAAACACAACATTTCATCAATTAAGTTATAAATCATCCAATTGTTTATAAAAAAGAACACCAAAATGAGCCATTAAATTCTTGCAAATTAAAGTGTTTCTTTGGAAAAAAAATGGAAATTTGCAAAAGAAAACAAAGAACAATGGTTCAACAAGTCGAGTATTCTGTAAAAAAGGGACTACAAGAATAAAAAGTTTTATATAAATTGGAAATTGATCAAACCTTTGGTAAGTACTTCTCCACAGTTTTGCATTGTTTCAAGAGCAACTGCAAGATTTCCAACTGAAAAATAACCAAAAAAAATAATAATGAATTATTTCATTGCAAGTTTTTCCAAACATTGTAAAAATCTTTCAAGATGAATTATTTTTAAAAGTTGGATGGTTTTAATAAAGATTTTTATAAGTAAAATGCCCAAATTAGAAGATCAATACCTGATTATCAGGATCTTTTAACAAAGAAACAGCTTCTGAAACAGCTAAATGACAAACATCACAGCTATTTTCTGAGAATTCATGAGCATAAGCAACAATTTCTTTGCAAAGTCCAACTTTTCCACAAAATTCTTCAGGTTTAACAGTTGAGATTTCAAGGAAAAATAGAGGAGCATAGTAATCTACTAAAGTGATACACTGCACAAAGAAACAAATCAAATGAGAAGGGCATTTTCGTCTTTTGCACATGCGAGAGAACAAAAGCAAGAGCAAGTTCCTATCCCTTTTCCTATTTGCCCCTCTCGTGTTGAAACTGATGAATATTGTGAAATTTGTTCTTGGAAAGGGTAAAATGGTCAAATAGTTAAAAAAGCAAACCTGTTTCTTTAATGACTGTAATTTATCACAAGATTCATGAAGAGCGGAGATGATTTCTTTTTGGGTTTTGTTTTGTTCAAGGAAAAAGAGAGCTTCAGAAGCATATTCTTCACACAAAGTACACAAATTGTCATTTTTGCCCTCGTTTCCCAAAACTCCAAATCTCTTTGCAGCCTTTGATTGCAAAACTACAAGGATAAATAACATGTTATTTCAAAAATCTTATAAAAGACTCAATTTAATACAAAAAAGTAAAATTAAATATAATAATACAAGATTGACTTTTGTCTACAAGATTCCTTTATTTTGTTGTTTCTAAGAGTTAAATTTATAAATTTGATGAAAAAAATGGTTCTACTTTTGGTATATATGGATGTTTATTTTTTTACTTATGAGCTTAATAGGAACATAACTTAATCTGGTAAGTTATATATGGATGTTTAATTTGGCTTATTGTAGAAAGCACGACTTAATACAGAAAGTGAGGAAATTATTAAAAAAAAATGATTAATAGAAATACCTGAAATTGCAGAAACCTTGTTTCTAAAGGTAGAAGTTAACTCTCTAGCATCACATAGCGAGCCAACAGCCAGCAAAAAAACAAAGACTAGACCAAGTTTTCCACCCATTCTGCATGAAGGGTAAAATGGTCATTTACTCTCATTCAAATTGCTTATCATTTATCTAGAGCTATATTACCAAACAAAAGAATTTGAAAATAATTTACGGAAGTTTCATTAAACATCAAATCCACAAATCCTACACACCAAACTTCAAAGTTCAAATCACCTCGAAACTATAACAAAATAAAACAAAAATATTATACGACCCTTGGTTTAAAAAGGTAATATTTGACTTTTGAACGACAAAGTAGTTGCTTTTTTTTATAATAGGCGTAAAAGGTTTATCCATCATTTTTACACCAAATAATTAACGTTCTTATATAAAAATAATTGTTCTATTTTCATGAGGCTCATGGAGTATTGAAATTTGATAATGATTTCTTGAGTTAAACAAAAGATTGTTGATGTTGCATTAAATTATCAAATATAATCACAATTGAAAAACTAAAATATATGTGTGTGAAGTTTCAGTTCAAAAGGAGCTACGATAGAAGTTCATACAATCAACCACAAATACTTAAAATTGCAAAGTCAAGAAATCTTAAAATTTACAATCGATAGGCCAAATACTTAAAATTGCAAAGTCAAACCACACTTAGAATACAAGATCCCGACAACCCTAGCTTTAGTTATTGATCTGGTTTTTTCTTGAAGACCAAAACTTTGATCGTAATTCATAAGAATAATAAGAGGCAATAAATCATAGATCGTAGTAGGAACAAGAACCCATGAATCTTAAGCGAAAAAACTAGCTACAGATACAAAAAAGAACCCTAATTTCTATCGAAATTCATCGTCAAAAATCAAAATTAACATGTATTACAAGAAAAACGCCATACCTTGAGTAAGAAACAGAGATAAAGAGTCGAAAGTCGAGTGGGAGAAAGATGATATATTGGTTAACCAAGTTTTTGGCTTTGAAGTAACGTGATAATTTGATAGATCATCAAAGGGATTGTCGCTCACATATAGAAGGAGGAAAGTCTCCCCCACCCATTGTTGTTCTCAAATGTGCTTATTTGGGTCCTTTATCTTTCACTATTTACAAATTGAATCCTTTATGTTAAGAAAACTACCATTTTATTGATATTTCATAGGACCTAACTAATGAACTATTATCCAACCCTTCAAAACAATTAAATCTAAAAATAACCTAAGAAAATTATAAAAAGCTAAATCATTAATTTTATTTGGTTAGCTGCTGACAATAAAAATAATTGTTTTATCTTTATAGATCTTTCACTTTTATATTTTGATACCTTTTTATTTACTTCTTTTTACAGTAAAAACCAGTGTTGTAAAAATCACGATTATCCTTAGGCGTTACTCGACCGACTAGATAACGCCTAGCGATCTCTGCATATACAATGATTGAAATTTTAATACTTTAAAAAGTTTTATCTTAATAGAAACCATTTGATCAATGATTATTGTTGTACTAATCATATTAACATATTTTGTTATGATATTAATAATATTTACAAACTTTGTTTTGATATTAATTAAAATTAATTTTTTAAAATTCAACAAATTGGCAATTAATAGTCTCTGATTAATCTGTGCATAGCCGATTAATCTCTTAACATCAATCTACCGACTAACTAATGTTGAACGTTTTTTACAACCTTGGTAAAAACTCGTGTTTACTTTAAAACACTAAAAAAATTCAGTTCAGGTCACCTTTTGAATGATTACGGATATGTTGGTCATTATTTGTCTCAAAAAGGCAATAAATTTAGGAAAATGGATAAAACGAAATTCCAATAGAAGAATAGGGGCCAAAATAGAACCTCTGGACGACGGGATAATTAAGGAAGATTCGTGTGATTAACAAATACGAAATATCAGAAGCAACAAATGGATAAATACAAGAATAAGAATATTATCCAATTATTATTGATATTTGAAAATATCCCCTACTTTTGTTCCTATAAATCATTTTACCCAATTAAATGATGACATGTGTTATATTATTATACTAAGGAGAAATTAAATTGATTCCTATCTTTTATGCCTACAAATATTTATACCCACTAACATTATTACAAATGACAACATTCCATATTTTTTTAACTATCTCATTAAGAGTATATTATGAATATATCAAATCAAATTAATTTGAATGGATGAATAATGACACGTGTCATCATATTAGTGGGTAGGAATATTTGTTGACATAAAAAGTAGGAGACAATTTAATTTCTCGTATACTAAAATAAGATATCATTAAATGAACATTAAATGTTACAAATGTCATTATTTAATTGGATAGGAAGATTTGTCGGAAAAAAATAGGAAAATATTTAATTTCTATTCAATCAAATTAGTAGCTACCTTCCTGACATTATAGATGTAATATGCAACGTGCATAGAAACAACGAACTCCGTAAATCTTGAAACTATATTTTACAAAAATAACAAAAGTGTTTAGCCCTATATTTTATAGGCAAAAAGTAGGGGCATTTAGATATTGGATTTTGATTTATGAATGCATATTCAAAATGGTTACGTGTATCAGATACCAAAATTTCAACCTACAAATGGATCTTCTTTTATTTTTTACATAACCAAATTGCATATTTATTTTTCGGGTATGAGTTTGTGAGAGATTTTAGTTTTTAGGTTTTAAGAAAAATCCTAAATTTGAAAAGGTTTCATTATTAAAAGTCATTTTATGTAGCTTTTAAGATATTTAGTTTTTAACTTCTATATTTTATGTTATTTTATATATTTCAAAGTTTACAATAACTTTTGTCATAATTTTTATACAAATAAAAACTATAACTTTTAACCACCAGCTACCGATTAGTTTTATAAAATATACCCTTTATGTTTGATATCTTACTTAAAAAATCAACTAAGGCTATATATTTATTGATAACTAAAACGTATTTGAACCAAACCAAATTATTTATTCTATACTTGTAGCATATGAAGAAAAAATAATCATTAAGTGTACCGCCATAAACTTCAAAATCAGAAATTACAAAATAAAAACTTATACAATTTGGATATTTGATATTTGATCTGTCAAAGTTTTGAAGTTTACGATCCAAATTTTTTTAATAATTGTGAATTGAACTTTAAGTTTTTCCGATCAAATCCTTTGAGTAAGATAATCTTAAGTGTTGTGGTTTTCATTTATTTATATTATTATTCGCCTTTTAAAAAAAATTATAAAATCTTTAAACTGGAATGAACTGCCGGACCTGTTCACCATTCACCCAAATCGTTGCTAAATCAGCTATCATTTTTAATACCAATTTCCAATTGTAAACCGATTTTTATGCTCATGTCTGCTGTATAAATCTCCTATGTATTTGTTTAACAAATTAGGTGGGTGTTTGGCAAAGCTTTTAGAAATAGCTTATTAGCTTTTTAGCTTTTCAAAAAGCTAATAAGCTAAAAAAATGTTTGTGTGATTAAAAAACGCTTTTTAAAACAATTTTTTGGATAAAAAAAAAATAAGCCTTTTAAAAAGCTGAAAAATCCTAGCTTTTTAGCTTTTTAACCATTTTACTCTTAAAAATCAGCTATTCTTATCCAAACACTTTTTAAAAATAGTTTTTCCTAAAAGTCATAAGCTAATAAGCATTTTTCTTAAAAATCACTTTTACCATAAAAAAAAAAACTAACCCAAACACACCCTCCTGGGTTAAGTATAGGACTACGGACCAAGATATTGGGCTAGTAAAGGTATGTTGGGCTACTAATAACACACCTTGGGTTAAGTATAAGACTACGGACCAAGATATTGGGCTAGTAAATGTATGTTGGGCTACTAATGAAATCATAAAGAAATAAATAAGTATTTAATGGTAGTAGGGCGGCCCGCCTTCAAAAAATAAATTGCAATAGGGGCTATAAGACTATTGAGTTGCCTTGACATTAACATGATCACTACTTTTTTAAATATAAAATCAGATTTTATTTATTAATATTTTCGTTACTAACTGACATGTAATCGTTTATTGTGTTTGGTTGGCTATATATAATAAAAATAAATAACAGAAAAAAAAACATTTTAGATGATATATTTTTTTTTATTTACGGATTTAATGTATAAAAAAACTTAATGGTTCAATATATATAGTTGTTTTTTTATTTAATACTAATAATAATAGGTTAAGTTAGGAATCAGATATCATTGATATTAAATTATGATTTTATATTAATTTCCTAGAATTGTCATTATTTTTTCCAATGAAAATCACATTTGTATCAAAAATTATGAGTAATGAAACATATTGTTATGCTTGTATAATAAGTTATTAGGTTATAAAAATTGTGTATTACACCGTTGACAACTTAACCATAATTTTGTTTAATAGCATTGTACTTCAATTTCTATTAACAACATTATACTTATATTATGGACTATTTATGATATTTTAAAAGCAAAATGTATCAATGTAATTTCATTTTATTGTGCATTTTAGCATAATACTTTCGATTCATATTTAAAAAAGACAATACCATGAAAATATATTGTTATTTATTGCATTTGTGCAATGAAAAATAACCTCTTAATAATAAGTTGTTTTATACAACTACAACCTAAAGCAAATCGAATGTTCAATTAGATATTACAAAATATATTGTCATAATTAGCCAGATATTTCAAAGAACACTGACTTAATCATAAATTTAGGGGGTTTCGGCTATATATTATTAGACTTAACAACTGGGTCATTAATTGAGGGCAAATTAACCATTTTGCCATTATCTTATACATTTCTTTCAAAAAACTAAAAATCAAACATAATAACGAAAGAAAATTAAATTAATAACATGAAAATTACTATACAAAAATTCAAATAAATGATTTTTTTTTCGACCCATGGTCATTAGACGTAACAACTATTAAATCCAAACAAAATGATCATCTTGTCATTGTCTTCTTTGTCTCTTTCAATAAACATAAAATCAAGATAGTTCTAGAAAACAAAATCAAGTAAGTTAACATAATATATAGCGACACATAAACAGGGCATAAACAAATAACATAAAATATATCATTTATACTGACAATATTTTTTCTAGACAACGAAAAGAAAATGAAACATAGCCTTATTCCTTTTACATGTTCTTCAAACATAAGACTTTAAAAAAACAAGTAACAATTCTACAAAAACAAGGGCAATTACATCATTTGTCAATTTCAACAACATTGAAGATAAACCCAGGAACTTCCACAAGTCATTTTCTTTAGTTCTTGGCACCGACATATTGAAATTCGTTTTACCGTTCACCTTATAAATTAGCAAATGAAAGTCATGAAAGATTTTGATTTTCAAAGCCATCAACATAGGCCATAAATAAAGTTCTTCACTCTAAAAACTAAAATGAGTTTCTTTATTCTAGAAAACTAAAGACGAAGTAAAGGTACAAAAGAAATACATACAACTATACAAGAATAAGTTTATTTTTGTAGGAAAAGCATTACCTCTTATGAAAGGCCAAGGGTATATGCTCTATTTCATCTTCTATTACTAACTACCATGAAGCACATGCTCATCAATAACCAAAGTGATTCATCCAACACCATTTGATATTCATATGAATGTCACCATGGGCATAATATGATGCTTAAATACATTCTAAAGGACTATATGCTCTTAAAACAACCATGGAATTACCAATTTAATTCCATAGTTTCCCAAAATAGCCCTTATGGCTAAATAATCATTGGAATCACTTTTAGTTCAAGTAATTATTCTTGTTTTGGATCCAAATCATAACCAAAGTGTCAATCATGATCCTTGAACATCATTTACTCATAATAGATCTTTAAACCCTTAGAAGGTCATAATCCAACAATGGAATCCCTAATTCTAATTGTCATGCTTTAGATTCTCTCATTCAATAAGTTATGCATCCAAATGGATTTATTGGAAAATAAAAAAAAAAATCCATATATGATCATAGAATCCATCGTATTCATATCGTATCAACCTCATGATTGCAATTTGAGTTCTAGGGTTTAGGGCTAGATTT